TATTGCATGTATGTTTGTGTTACCATATCAAGCATGTTTACCATGAGGCTAAGTGCTTACTTAATATACCTCTTGAATGCCTGTGGATAAAAGCTTTTTTTTTTTCCGCTTAAATTGGGATGATTTGATTAATGTACATATGAGCTCACTTTCTCAAGTGACACATATTCAAAACACTTTTTCAAACAAACATAAAATCAAAGCATTCCAAAGTAGGGGAAATAGTCTATACTTGTATGTCTCACATAGTAATGTTAGCATAATAATCAGAACAAAAGCATATATTGTACATACGATTCACATCATGATTAGTAGAGGTCGATCCTTGATCGGGTGCTCAATTCATAACCTTCCCCTCTAATACGTAACTTCCCGAGCCGAGACACTTGGTTATGATGGACAAGTGGCCTTTGGCACGAGTCACGGGTTTCCTAAATTTTTCAAAAATATTTAGATGGTGACTTTGAAATCTGGCAATGCGATCCATTTTTGGCATTTTTGATTAAAAATTGATTTCCCAAACATTTGTCGGATTTGGACTCTTTTATATTTTCATTGTTTCAGATTGCACTTGTGGAATCATATTCAGAACCACAGGAGTCCGAACTGCAGGGCTATCGTATCCAAGGAGATTAAATCCTTCCGAGGAGCACGAAAAGCTAGCTACAGGCACAAGTGATGATCTCTTATGATTTTGATTGTTAGTTTGACCGCTAGTTTGCCCATTATTTTGTGCATTGTTTTGCATAGGTTGTTTATCTTAAGCTAATCTCTGTTGAAGAAAATTTATGTTCTCTTCAGCCTGCCTTATGACAAGTGGTTGCTAGGAGCTCATTCGACCCAAAAAGGATGTTGCCCATCTTTCCATTGTATACATTAATTGTTGTCCCATGACATCAACCAATCCTCTCTATGGATTCACTGGTTGGGTAGGTGGGACAATTGAAGGCCCAGTTTCATGGCCTTGTCCAACATTTTGGACGTGCGTTACATATTCTGAAGTGCTGGTCTCTTCGACCACTTGTGGAGGATCAGTTGAGGCAGGCACATCCACGGAATGTGATATTACATTATCTTCTAGGTTATGTGCTTCTAAATCTCCTTCTACACCTTCTTCGAGGCGTTCATTTTCTCATTGTCTCCTATGTCTAGCCATTACAATGTGTCCCACTAGACGTGCCAAAAATATATGTTGGCTTTTTTGGCTTTCGAAGGTTAGATATGTAATTAGAGCATGCCAACAATGATCAATAAGTCCTTACAAAAATAGTAAATGCCAACTTGTAAACTGGAAACACAGAATATGCAGCGGATAAAATAAATAATTAATCATACCTTCTTCAATGATAGAACCTTCTTGGATAAATCACGTGCTTCCAGGGAACTTCTTGATGAATCAACCCAGCAATGGAGTGATATCACAGATTGAACATTAATTGTTGTCCCATGACATCAACCAATCCTCCCTATGGATTCACTGGTTGGGTAGGTGGGACAATTGAAGGCCCAGTTTCATGGCCTTGTCCAACATTTTGGACGTGCGTTACATATTCTGAAGTGCTGGTCTCTTCGACCACTTGTGGAGGATTAGTTGAGGCAGGCACATCCATGGAATGTGATATTACATTATCCTCTAGGTTATGTGCTTCTAAATCTCCTTCTACACCTTCTTCGAGGCGTTCATTTTCTCATTGTCTCCTATGTCTAGCCATTATAATGTGTCCCACTAGACGTGCCAAAAATTATATGTTGGCTTTTTTGGCTTTCGAAGGTTAGACATGTAATTAGAGCATGCCAACAATGATCAATAAGTCCTTACAAAAATAGTAAATGCCAACTAATTATTCAGATGATTGCTTCAAAGTTCTTTTAGCCTCAATGAAAAAGACTTTTATTGGTGACTTGTTTTTAAAAGAAAATTCAGAAGACTGATCACAAAAATAAAAGAAAGAGGGAGAAACAGTTTCAGAAATCAAATTTCATTAAATAACCAAGAGTTTACAATTTGTACATTCGCACTCTCACAGCTTCGAAGGGGATTACATCAACATGCTATCTTAGAACTACTCTTAGGAATTGGAAGTGAAGAACAGGAAAATAAATGACTGGAAAATGAAGGACTAGAAATGTAAAGGACAGGAAAATATAAAGCAAAATAAATTGGCTTCTTGATTTGGTTATGGGTTCTTCATTATCAGCATTCTCCTATATTTATAGGCTCTGATGATAACCGTCAAAGTAGCTGATAACCATCAAAATAGATGATAACTGTCGAAGTAATCCCCATTACCACTGGTCATGGCTTTGAACAGTTTGCTTTCACTATACCACTCTTGCAGGTGGGCTTCCCTCCTAAATTTTGAATTTAAATTGTAAGAAACCGTTTGGCCACATCACCTTATGTATCTTGACTGTTTCCATGCCTCGCAGATCCATCGTCATTGATACAAGTTGCCATGTGTCTGTTGATGACTAGAGACCTTCACTAATTCCCCAAATTTTCTCTTATAGACCACGTGTCAGACTGTGATTAGTTTGTACAAAATATACCACCAACTATTGTGTTGAATAATTATTGTAACAACATATACAAGACTCCTTTATATAAGAGAAGAGAAACCTAAATATGATAATCCTAAATATGATAATAAATATAACATGATACATATGACAGAGAATATATTGTTATTATATTTAACATTCACTAATCGTCATGTTATTGAATGAAATTGGGTTGTGCTTTTATGGTAAACATTAAGAGTTTTGAGTGCTCCTCATTCCTTCAACTTAATTGGAGAAGTGTCATTGGGTTTGGTGTGCCCACACCTCCAACTGCACCTCTTTTTAATTGGATCACTAATTGGAGATAATACCTCTCTTATAATTTAAAGTTGTGTTAAGATCTCGTTTCACAACATCACATTTTAATTTAAAATTTAAAAATTATTAAAAAATTTAAAAATCTAACAAACTATACAAAAAAAAGTCAAAGGCTATATTTGGATAGATTTTCAAACTATAATTCCACCCCCACATTCTAATGTCATGTATGGACACATCTTTCAAATTATATTTCCATATCAAAAAGAAAACTCTGCAGAAAACTTTGTGTTAGGCCGGATTTTTTTTTTTTTTTTTTTTGAAATTTGGCTTAACCGATTATGTTGTCCAGCCGATCAACTAGAGCATGGCAATTTTTTTATTTTTTTATTTTTTGCAATTGGCACTTGTTATATATATATATATATTTTTAATAAAACAATATTTTCAGAAATTTTTTAAAATTTTTTATGAGCTTTTAATATATTTTTGAGTTGTGTACTTGGTTATGAGTTGTAAGTTTTTGTATCAGATATCATATGTCATATAAAAAATTCTCCACTAATTCAAAACTCTTTTACCAAACAAATTTTTCACACTCAGATCATAATTACAAAACTCACAAACTCAAAATACAACTCTATTCTAAAATCATATTTAGAAAATTCTATCAAACATTATCAAAGATTCCATTTTTTCTCTACTTTTTGCACATGTTTTCATAAAAAATTAAAAAATCATTCCAAACATATTAATTTTTTTATCTCATATTTTAGTCAAAAAACTAAAATGTTACTAAAATAGCATATTTTCAAACGAGACCTTACTATTGTGTTTTTTTATGCACAAACTCAAAATACAACTCTATTCTCAAATCATATTTAGAAAATTCTATCAAACATTATCAAAGATTCTGGCCTTGTTTGGTTTGTGTTTCCCAAAAAGTTTTGGGAAAAATTCTCTACAAATAAGTTTTCAAAAGTAATCAAACCAAACAAATTTCCCCAAAAAAATTTCCCAAAACTTGTTTGGTTTATAAGTTTTTCAAACAAATCTCTCTCTTATACACATCAAATCAATCATTTTTTCCAAAACTCTCTCTCAAAATAATTTTCCAAAACATCTTTTGAAAAAAACCAAACCAAATAACTTTTCGTACTTTTTATCTCTAAAACTCATCTCCCAAACTCAAACCAAACACACCCTCTATTTTTTCTCTACTTTTTGCACATGTTTTCATAAAAAATTAAAAAATCATTCCAAACATATTAATTTTTTTATCTCATATTTTAGTCAAAAAACTAAAATGTTACTAAAATAGCATATTTTCAAACGAGACCTTACTATTGTGTTTTTTTATGTTCTTGTTGTACAATCTTTTATCCATGAATAATATATTATTCATTAATGAAAGATTGTGAAATTGATAATATATCCTAATAATATATCCTAATAAGCTTTGTAGACTATTGTGAAATTAAGACTTAGAAATGAAATTTTTAGGTTATGGAGGCCAAATAATATATCCTAATAAGCTCTGTAGACTATTGGCTGAAAGTGTGTCATGATTGAGATAAACAAAGGATTAAGCCTTTCCTATCATACCAATTAATTTTGAATAAATTGATATAAGTTTAGACCACAAGTGGTACAGAAAGGGTGTTTTCTAGGATTGTTAGATTATGAGTTCCGTGAGATTAATACATCCCCAATATCTTCATTAGTTTAGTTCATAGGAATCTAGGACATATTATGCAATTCATTACTACATGCAATTCAGATTGCAAAAATTGGACTTATCCTACTTGGCTTTTCTCTAGTTTGATTTTTGTTTGCCGTTTTAATTTGATACGAACGTATCAATATTAAAAGCAATGAAAAAATTCTCATCTTACAAAAAATTCATCTAAAGTGATGCAGCATCTTTCTTTGGGAATTTATTAAAAAGATAGTTTATCAGCTAAAAACTAACTTATTGATACTTCTATGAGGTTATGTGGCGGAAAACGCGAGAAAAAGAGAACAAAATAAAATTTGTTTTGCATTTGTTTAGCATGACATGATAGGAAAATATAAAAATAAATAATAATAAAAAAATAACGGTTTTAACTTTTCTTTGAAAATTTTGTGGTATAACCAAATGTTTACAGAAAAATAAAATTATCACTTTCTATCACTTTCTATCATCATTCTTTGCTTTCCCACTAAGGTTGTATCCTACATAACTTGCAAGTGCAATTTCTACACTTTTTAAGTTCATCTATCTATTGAAAGCACCCTCATCTCATTTTATACATAAAACATGGAGGGCGAGCAGTTCATAGAGTGCAGGAAATTCAAAGTAACCCTAATCTCAGCATTTGATCTCGAGGACGTTCGAAAAATTTTCAGAATGAAAGTTTATGCTACGGTTTCTTTTGGAGACGATGATAAAACTGAAAAGAGAACTAAAGCAGATGAGTATGGTGAAACAAGTCCGAGATGGGGCTCATCTATGCAATACACCATTGGCGAGTCGGCAGTTATACACCATGGCCTCATACTTGTCATCAAGTTATATTGTAAGCGTAAGCTTGGCGACCGGTACATAGGAGAGGTAATGTTGCAAACTTGTCTCACACTGTTTCTCTCCGTCATCCAGACTTAGTTTTGGCTTGGTTATATCTCCAAGTTATAGTCCTGGAGTATTGGTACTACCAGTAAATGAAAAATCATAAAACAAATTAGTGGAATTATTTCTTGTCTTCCAACTACATAATAAAAATAAATTAATATTGACCCACATGTAAAGTTTTTCGCTACATCATTAGTTGAGAGCACTTCATAAACTATGTTACATGGTACTCCAGGATTACTGAATAATTATCCCATGATATTAGAGTTAAGTTTTGGACGGTTTCTAGTGAGTCAAGTCTTGCGCAAGTCTATTTCTTTCATCTTGTGTTTCTCATAACCTCTACATGCAATCGGACCACATGTGCAGGGGAGTGCAGCGATTTGTCCCATATGGACATATTCATTAATTGTCAATTGATTTTGGATTAGATGCCTCCAATAATCTACAGGTACACGCATCGATTAAAAACCTGTTTGATTGCGCAACCCAGTACGGAGGCAGCCGCAGCGCAGATGTGACGTGGCCGGTTCATACAGGTTTGGAGACAAAATGGTTATCGAAAGACCTCCCTTGTGGAAAAAGTTACTACAGTCTGGAGCTGCAGTGTTGCTAAGGGTGACACTTATTTCAACAACTGGAGTGGATCTGCCCATTGAAGAAATACCCATCTTCACTAATCCTGTTGTTATTGAATAAGCTCCAAGAATTACCACCATATTTTAAATAAATATATATATATATATATATATATAATTTGTGTATAGAAGTTAGCCCTGAACTCTCTGAGCAGACCATTTAGTATCAATCGTTGATGTCATGTTAGAATAAAAAATCAAAGTTACATGCCCTCTGTTTTTTATTTTGTAATTTTTCTTTTCAAACTTAAATTGATATTTTCTCTTGAGTTTGAGAAAAAAAAAATTAATATATATTTTTAAAATAATATTATGTTTCCTTATTTTGGTCTTATGCCCCAATCACTCACAAATCGTTGAGAAAATCTAAGTGCGATAGTGTTAAGGCATAATCCAATCTCACAATACTGATTCATTAAAAATTACAAAATGCGATAATCAACCCTTCAATTATCTCTTCAATTTCCTTTATAGCTTATTGATAACAAATTTCATTTATTGATCGGATTCAATTAGCAAAGAATTAGATTAAAATAAAAAGACGGGATTGGTTATTTCATCCTCTTTACTTGTGGCAGGTAAGAGGGGAGGGGGGGACCGCAGAGCGTTAAGATCCTCTAGAGTAATAATCCTACAATCATCTCCTACAGTGAAGGACAAGCAGCCGACATGTGGCCCACTCACCAAACCAAGGGTTGAGATTTAAATTCACCAAAACGACGTCGTTTTAGTGAGTAAATTGAGAAAGAAAAAAAAAAGTGAGAGAGAGTCAAGAACAATAAAACAAAAACAGAGTGAGAGAGAAGAGAGTAACTTCAACAAATATTCTTAGATTAATCTCAGCATCACCAATTCACCCATTTTCTTCATCATCACTATCAACCAAACCCATCAAAAACTTTCAAATCAACACTCATTCAGAGTCTATTTCCTCATAAATTCATGTGGGTTTGCTCCCAAAAAAGCTCTTGAAAAAAAAAAAAAAAAAACCAAGTGAGAGAGAGAGAGACAAGAACAACAAAACAAAAACATAGTGAGAGAGAAGAGAATAACTTCAACAGATGTTCTTAGATTAACCTCAGCATTACCGATTCACCCATTTTCTTCATCATCATTATCAACCAAATCCATCAAAAACTTTCAAATCAACACTCATTTAGAGTCTATTTCCTCATAAATTCATGTGAGTTTGCTCCCAAAAAAGCTCTCTCAGCATCAAGGTATGTCAAACCTTCACCAACATACAATCTGTGTCTTTTAAATCCACTCATTTTCTTCTTTATCTCTCAAACCTATCAAAAACTCTGCAAAATCACTATGTCCTTGAAGCACAAATCAAAGAAAAAAAAAAGAAAAAAAAAGAAAAGTGAAACTGTTGGAGTATGGCAGGCAGGGCATCGGCGGCGGCAGCACGTTGGGGTGGGACGGGGCAGGGCGAAGACGTCCTCCTCATCTTCTCTCTCTCTCTCTCTCTAACTCTCCCCAAGGAACTAGTGAAAAGTGAAAATTTGAATTTTGAATTTTTTTTTTCTTGCAATTTACTCACCTACGATGTCATTTTGATGAGTTTAAATCTCAGCCCTTGGTTTAGTGAGTGGGCCACGTGTCGGTTACTTGTCCTTCATTGTAGAAGATGATTGTAGGAGAATTACTCTAGAAAATCTTAATGCGACCGTAGATGGGAGGGATTTGTTTCCACGGCTATTTAATAAATATAATTTTTCTCTAGAGTAGAGCGTTAAGATCCTCTAGAGTAATACTCCTACAATCATCTCCGATAGTGAAGGACAAGCAGTCGACATGTGGCCCACTCACCAAACCAAGGCCTGAGATTTAAAATCAACAAAATGACGTCGTTTTAGTGAGTAAATTGAAAAAAAAAAGGTGAGAGAGAGACAAGAACAATAAAACAAAAACAGAGTGAGAGAGAAGAGAGTAAGATTAATCTCAACATCACCAATTCACCCATTTTCTTCATCATCACTATCAACCAAACCCATCAAAAACTTTCAAATCAACACTCATTCAGAGTCTATTTCCTCATAAATTCATGTGGGTTTTCTCCCAGAAAAGTTCTTGAAAAAAAACAAACCAAGTGAGAGAGAGAGACAAGAACAACAAAACAAAAACATAGTGAGAGAGAAGAGAATAACTTCAACAGATGTTCTTAGATTAATCTCAGCATCATCGATTCACCCATTTTCTTCATCACCATTATCAACCAAATCCATCGAAAACTTTCAAATCAACACTCATTTAGAGTCTATTTCCTCATAAATTCATGTGAGTTTGCTCCCAAAAAAGCTCTCTCAGCATCAATGTATGTCAAACCTTCACCAACATACAATCTGTGTCTTTTAAATCCACTCATTTTCTTCTTCATCTCTCCAACCCATCAAGAACTCTGCAAAATCACTATGTCCTTGAAGCACAAATTAGAGAAAAAAAAAAAGAAAAGTGAAATTGTTGGAGTATGGCGGACAGGGCATCGGCGGCGGCAACGCTTTAGGGCGGGACGAGGCAAGGTGTAAACGTCCTCCCCCTCTTCTCTCATTCTCTCTAACTCTTCCCGAGGAACTAGTGAAAAGTGAAAATTTGAATTTTGAATTTTTTTTTCATGCAATTTACTCACCTACGATGTCGTTTTGATGAGTTTAAATCTCAGCCCTTGGTTTAGTGAGTGGGCCACGTGTCGGTTACTCGTCCTTCATTGTAGAAGATGATTGTAGGAGAATTACTCTAGAAAATCTTAATGCGACCGTAGATGGGAGGGATTTGTTTCCACGGCTATTTAATAAATATAATTTTTCTCTAGAGTAGAGCGTTAAGATCCTCTAGAGTAATACTCCTACAATCATCTCCGATAGTGAAGGACAAGCAGCCGACATGTGGCCCACTCACCAAACCAAGGCCTGAGATTTAAAATCAACAAAATGACGTCGTTTTAGTGAGTAAATTGAAAAAAAAAAGGTGAGAGAGAGACAAGAACAATAAAACAAAAACAGAGTGAGAGAGAAGAGAGTAAGATTAATCTCAACATCACCAATTCACCCATTTTCTTCATCATCACTATCAACCAAACCCATCAAAAACTTTCAAATCAACACTCATTCAGAGTCTATTTCCTCATAAATTCATGTGGGTTTTCTCCCAAAAAAGTTCTTGAAAAAAAACAAACCAAGCGAGAGAGAGAGACAAGAACAACAAAACAAAAACATAGTGAGAGAGAAGAGAATAACTTCAACAGATGTTCTTAGATTAATCTCAGCATCACCGATTCACCCATTTTCTTCATCATCATTATCAACCAAATCCATCAAAAACTTTCCAATCAACACTCATTTAGAGTCTATTTCCTCATAAATTCATGTGAGTTTGCTCCCAAAAAAGCTCTCTCAGCATCAATGTATGTCAAACCTTCACCAACATACAATCTGTGTCTTTTAAATCCACTCATTTTCTTCTCCATCTCTCCAACCCATCAAAAACTCTGCAAAATCACTATGTCCTTGAAGCACAAATTAGAGAAAAAAAAAAAGAAAAGTGAAATTGTTGGAGTATGGCGGACAGGGCATCAGCGGCGGCAGCACTTTAGGGTGGGACGAGGCAAGGTGAAGACGTCCTCCCTCTCTCTCTCTCTCTCTCTCTCTCTCCCCGAGGAACTAGTGAAAAGTGAAAATTTGAATTTTGAATTTTTTTTTCTTGCAATTTACTCACCTACGATGTCGTTTTGATGAGTTTAAATCTCAGCCCTTGGTTTGGTGAGTGGACCACGTGTCGGTTACTTGTCCTTCATTGTAGGAGATGATTGTAGGAGAATTACTCTAGAGAATCTTAATGCGACCGTAGACGGGAGGGATTTGTTCCCACAGCTATTTAATAAATATAATTTTTTATTGATGTAATTCCTCTTAATTTTCTTAATAAAAATTTCTTTAAATATAAATATTTTAAAACAGAGAGTGGCGTGGAGAAAAGAGAGATCTTGCACCGTACCATGTAGCTTTTTTGAGATGAGCCCCGTATCCAATAACTAGTGGTTCGGTTGCAGCCGGAAACCTTCAATCTGTCATATGTTCATTGGATTGGCGGATGAATGCGAATCGGTTTGGCGGTTTAAACTTTTATAAACTTTGAATATAATACAGCAACTTGTCAACATTTTTTTTAGATAACAATCCAACTTAACATAACAAAAAGATAATCAAATAAATTGTCAAATACCAATAATAAATACATATAACAAAGTCATGCATTATCAAAACTATTTCAATACTCTTTTTTTTATTCAAAAACTATTTGATCTGATTTTTAAAAAAGATGACAAAATTAAGCCTTATATTTTCCACACAAAAATACCAAATATCGACACTTGTCATTTGATAAAAAGATTTACAAATTGAAAATAAATTGAAAATACAACAGAATATTTAAACTTTTTTTGATTGAAAACACAAACAGAGTATCTAAACAAATTAAAAATATAAAATCTTATAAATTACTAAGGGTGCTCGCGATTTGGCAGTTCAGTTGCGGCCGAAGGAACCTTAACTCCGCCATCCATCAAAATTTAGGCAGATTGGAAAAAATCAATCCATATCTGTTCACTCGTCATTACGTATTCATCCAAAATGCGGCGAATCGATTTGGTTCGGTCAGTTTGAGTGAATCGGAATATCCGCTAAGCTTTCCTAAATAAAAATTTGTTTGGCATAAACTAAAAAAGTGTATTTATTTATTATTTTATCTTTTTTTGGTCACATTACCTTTCTTTTTTTCTGTATAACTTTTTGTAAAAAGTCAAAAAGTACACTTATTTAAATCATCTCAAATTAGCTCTACTCTCTCTCTCTCTCTCTCTCTCTCTCAAAAATTATGTATTCTTCCACGAATAAAGTGACAAACAAAACAAATAGTTTGAATTTAATTAAGAGTAATGCTAGGGATTCCAAATATTTCATATGAGTGTGGGACTTAC